GACTAACAAATTTATTTGAGCATAAGCTTTCATGGGTAAAAAGCCCACTTCTTCAGATGCATGGAGTACTGGACTACTCATTGTTTTTGTGATCTCTGAAATAAGGAGTTTGTGACCCAGGGTCCTTTTGATGCTAACTGACACAGAGGGGATGCACGAGGTTTAATAGGGATCCTTTGGTCAGGTACATGCATAATAATTAACAAAAGAGTGGCATGTAAGGTCTTCACCAAGAGCCAGTAGCTTACATGGAAATGTATGTATGGATAATATTTAAGAAATTATGTATCTACACTAGTGTTCCCTCTAATTTTTCCCACACATGTGCAGAATGAATTTTGTTATGTGCACCAATATCGAGGTGATGTTTCACACATCACCTTCATATTGGTGCACATAACAAAATTCATGTGGTGGGGGTGGGGTCGAGGGGTTCGGAGTGTGGGAGGGGGCTCAGGGCTGGGGCAGAGGGTTGGGGTGCAAGGGTGTGAGGGCTCCGGCTGGGGGTGCAGGCTCTGGAGTGGGGCTGGGGATGAGAGATTTGGGGTGCAGGAGGGGGCTTCAGCTGGGGCTGAGGGGTTCAGACTGCTGGAAGGGGATCAGGGCTGGGACAGGGGTTTGGCATTCAGGGGGGAGTGAGGGCTCCAGCTGGGTGTGCGGGCTCTGGGGTGAGGCTGGGGATGAGGGGCTCAGGGCTGAGGCAGAGGGTTTGGGTGTGAGCTCAGGGGATGAGGAGTTTGGGGTGCAGAAGGTTGCTCCGGGGCTATGGCGGGGAGAGAGGACTCCCCCTCAGCTCTCTCTCCCCGCAGCAGCACCTGGGCTGGGGGGAGAGGCGCCCTTCCCCTGGCCACAGCAGGTCCGGACCGAGCCTGGGTTCAGGACGCCCCTCCCCAGGCTGTGGCAGGTCTGGGGCTGAGGCGCACCGCCACCGGCCACAGCAGGTATGGGGCCGCGCTAGGTTGGGGCGCCCATTCCCTGGCAGGTCCTGGCCAGGTGGGTTCCCTGAACACCTGTGTGGCGCTAAATAGGCTGCTGCGCAGCTTACAGGGAACTTAGACCTACACTAAAAATTATGTTCTTAAAGTAAAAGGCAAGTGACCAGGATGTGACCGTCTGTGGACAGATTCTGTTCAGGCATGGGATTAGGAGTCTCTTACCTTTCCCTGTCTGGTCAGATATATATTGTGCATTGTATGTCTCACAATGGAAGTCTATTTGCATATGGAGCCACCAACTAATCAGAGTTGCAAAATAAATAACAGATTGTGAAAGCAGATAGAAAGGACCACACAGCAGGAGGGGATAGATCTGGTATTGCAAGGAAAGAGATAATATCCTTCCACTGTGGAGGCAAGAGGATAGCATGACTTTTCTCATGAAAGGAAGATCACAGCCAAGACTGGCTGTAATATGCTGTGATGGGGTGTCTACCCCACACAAGACTGGAAGGGGTTATATGACCAGGTGGTCCAACTAACTCCATCGGTTGCACCCGGAGGAGCAGCCAGGGAGTAGAGGATTGATTGGGACCAGGCTCAGCTGGACAGAAACAGGCAAGACTTCCTTAAAGCCAGGGCGCAGATAGCAGAAGGGGGCTGCAGTCACTCCCTGGGAGGAGGGAGGTGTGTTAGGGGCTAAAGGTTAGGTCACAGTTATTCCTGGAGATGAGGGAGGCTGGTGAACCCAGAGAACAGGGAAGCCAGGAAGGTAGGAGAAGGCCCAGGGGTAAGCAGCAAGGTAGGACAGTGCAGGCCTTGGCTGCTGACGGGAGGGCCCCTGAGCTGGAATCCAAAGTAGAGGACAGGCCTGGCCGCAGAGACGACTTGTTGGAGGGGCATGAAGGGTCAAGTGCCCCCTCTCTCTCCCTCCCCCCACCCCCCCAGCAGCTGGCCCTGGAGGGAGAGGAGGGGTGGGGCCAGAAGAGAAGAGGAGGGAACAGAGCTTCTTCCAGCCCCACTGCCTAGGATGCTGCCCGCCCAGTGCAGCATAGCGGCTGACTGGGACAGAGACTGGCTATGGCAGCAGCAGGCTGCCTCCCACCCAGGCTCAGCTTCTGGGGACAGCGGCCAAGTGAGCCGGAGCCCTGCCCTGCCCCCCTGATATGCTCAGAGCTGGCACAATGGGAGAACAGAGCTCCCCCTGGTAATGTGGGGTGGGGAGGGGATGGGGAGAGCGTGGGAGACCTGGGCTGGGGGCGGGGTGGAGTCATGTGGGGATGTCACATGGGGAGATCACATGTTCTTCCCTTTAGCTGGTGCCCCCAGCAGACTACCTGGGATGGTTTGTCCAGGAAAGACTTTGTTACATCACCCCCAGTAGGGGAATATGTACGGTGACCCAGGCGGAGGCTGAATCCCAAAGAGGAGGCTGCGATTCCTGGAGCAAGAGGGGCCACAGGGCGAGACAGGATGGGTGAAGACACTGCTATAGAAGGGTGCAATGTCTGGCAGAGCCAATCCCCAGGATGGCCAGGAGGAGGACTATTAGTGGTGAGCAGACCCTGTCACAAATGCTGGAAGGATTTTGGATAAGCTTTTGCTCTATATGATATGACAGAAACTAATTAAGTAAGTCTAGATTCTAGATCATGTGTTATGTTTTTATTTTATATTTATCCATTTGTTTTCAATACTTTTATTGGCTCTCCTCAAACTTCTACATTTTATTAAATACATTTTTACTTGTTTTCACTATAAACATATAAGAGCTGTGTATCAAGCAGAGCTATGCTCTGAGGTGTAACTGGTGAGCTGGGGGTACTGTTCTTTTGGGAGCAGTGGATTTGTGAATTCTGTGAGCATCCAGTGGACATGGGGCTGGACACTTCAGGGGGACCCTCAAAGGGCTTGAGGGCTAAAGTGTGTCTAACGCTAACCTGCAGAGGAAGAGCGGAGCCTGACTAGGCTGAGGGAGGAGTGCTTGTGTTGCCTGTGGCTGGTAGAGTGGGGTTCTGACCCCTGTCAGGCTCAGACAAGGCTTTCTCCTGGTAAGGGCATGGGCAGGTAGTAGCGAAGTGCCTCACAACTCTGGGTAACCCCAGGAAATATGACAGGAGTACTGAAAGATATGGTCCTACCTCAGTGTAAGTATGGATGCTCCAGACGGGTAGGTTCCAAGAAGCTAGTTTCACATGAGTCAGATAATTAAAGAACCAATGTAAACTCTAATATTTTCAACTACATGTTAGAAGTAATAACTATTACAACTGAAAGAAACTAGTGATTTTTCTCCAATTTTCAAGTTTTTTTGCTTTCTTAATTTTAGATCATTTTGGGTAGTCAATTAAATTGTTTCCCAGCTATAGTCTGGGAATTATCCTGCGATTGTGAGCTCACAAAAGGCAGCAAGGGGTGCAGGAGCAGATGTAATCCCTGAAACTACTTTTAAACGCATTTGCTTTAATTAAAATGTCAAGCTGAAAGATTCCTTTAAAATCTAATAAAAATAACGATTTGCAAAACTGGTCAACTCAATCCATAGTTTAGGAGTACTCTTGGATTCCTCACTGAGCTCTCACATAGCAACGGCCACAAGTAGTGATAGCTACCATCTCCAGCTGGCTATGAGACTCCATCCTATCCTGGTGGACAAAGACCTGGCCTCAGTTATTCATGCCTTCATCATCACTTGGCTGGAGTACAGCAATGCAGTATAGGTGGGCATGGAACCTTCAGCACTCTGGAAACTCCAATTAGTAGAAAATGCTGCAGTCTCTTTTCTCAGCAACACAGGCTACTGTGAGCACATCAGATCTGTCCTTTGCTCTCTACACTGGCTTCCGATAGAACTTTAAATCAAGTACAAGGTCTCAATTTTTTCTCCCAAGTGGTCCATGACCTGGGCCCAGGATGCCCAAAAGACCATCTAAAGCTCCGAAACAAAGACTGGGTCAACAGCTTCACTCTTCTGGCACAATGGAACTCTACAACCACAGTAAAGCTCACTTGTGTGGGAGACGGAACTTTCTTGGGGACAGTTTGAGACTGTGGAATGGCCCCCCTTTCCCTCCTCCCCCAGGAACTAAGGACCACCACAAACCCTGCCACTTTTAGGGTGACCAGATGAGAATTCCAAAATATCGGGACCGCCGCAGGGGGAGCGGCTTTTCAATTGTTACAGTCACCTGTCCAAGTCTTCGGTGGCACTTCGGCGGAGGGTCCTTCAGTCGCTGACGGTCTTCGGCGGCAGATAATAAACCTTGCCACCAAAGAAGGAAGTACCC